TAAGGTAAGCATTTTTTAACCTGCTGCTTTGTGATTAGAGTGGTGATTTATCTTAAATTATTTTAATAATAAATCAGTGTTGAACTGGTGTGCTCTTAAGATCCATTTCCTTTCTCTCTGTCTTCAAAAAGCAAGAGGTTTTATGTTTCTTTGGTGATAGGATAAAGTAAACCTTTGCAGGTTAATTGCTGTGTAATTAACACAGACAGGGTGGAGATCAGAGGACAGTAACCTATTGGGAAACATCCACAAGCTTTTGCTGTACTATAGGGAAGTCCATTAGGTTGTGCTACCCCAGCTCCTTAAATAATATCCAGAGAAACCTGAGTCCTTTTCCAGGGAATCTGCTATGAGTTTTCCTCTATTGATGAGAGTCCTTGATAGAGATTCTTTTTAATTTTCAATTCTTGAATGTTATTTGTAATTTGATAAAGGCTTTTTTTTTTTTTTTTGATGGAGTAAAGGATAAAGTCCAGTTTAGCTGTTGGTGACTTACTGTTTTTATGTAAAGAAGATGGTCTCTAATACATTGGTTTTATTGACTAATCGGTAATCATTATCCATTATACCTGTCACTGTGCTGCTAGGATAGCTTCTAAGGAGAAAACTTACAAAGAAATTTAAAAATGACCACTAAATACAGAAAGTGATTTGCTTGATATAAACATTTAAAAACCTACGAAAGTATTTCAGTATATCTGTCTTATATTTTTATCATCTACCTTTTGGTAACTTACTTAATCTCATTTTTACCTGATAGTTTTATATTTTAAACACTTGCTAAAAATTGCTCCTTTCTACAGGGTGCCCTGAGTGTGCTTTTTTGTCTGATATTTTGTACGTATAGTGGATGACTCGTAAAATGGGTTTATGGTCGTCCCCTCTCATTTTTTTCCTCTCTCTCTCCTAAGTTCAAGGCATATTCTGTTTAACGATACTTTTGTAATTTGGATGTTGTTATTCATAAAATCATTGGAAGGGCTTTTATAATTTTGGTATAAAAGCAAGTGAAAAATTAAAACCTCTCAGTGCAGTGTGGCATTCTGGAACAGAAATATGACATTAATGGAAAACAAGAGAAATCTGAATGAAGTCTGTGTTTGATTAATAGTAATGTACAATGTTAATTTTTTAGTTTTGGTAAATTGGGTATGTAAGATTTTTTTTTTTTTTGATAAATTCTATGGGTAGGTAAGACATTTTAACATTAGTGGAAGTTGGGTAAAGGATATATAGGAACTCTCTTTTATTTAGTAGAAATTTAATTTACCAAAAGCTTTAAATATATGGCCATATGACTAAATAGTGGTGAGCCAGGTGCCAGGGGTACAAAGAGTCCTGAGGCTGGTCTCTTCTCTCCAGAATGTCACAATCTTGTTGGCAGGTCAGGGTCTTCTTATCCGTAAAAAGATGAGTAACAGTACCTTTATGAGGCAGCCTGTGCCAGTGAATGATACAGGGAGTCCTGTAAGTAGACACATGGCACGTTTGGAGAGGCCTTTGCAGAACAGGTGAAACATGAGCTGAGCAGGATGGGTGAGTACAACTTAGATAAGTAATGGAGAGGTTGTTCTAAGAGACAGGAGAGGCCATGAATTGAGGGAAAAATACTGGCAGTGATGATGCAGGGTGGGTTCGTACAGTCAAAATGAGCTAATGGAGACTTGCGCTAATCAAAGTACGGGATGATGAGGGTCTGACTAATATGCTGGAATTGAGATTTGACAGGAGCTGGTGATGACGGATATAGGAGCACAGAAGAAAAACAAATGAGTGGTGACTGATAACGTGAGCCAGTGGAAGTTACTTAGGGGGTTTGTGTTAAGCATTTCATTTTCAGGTAGTGCTGAACTGCCAAGTAGACTTGTCTGGCAAGAAGTTAGACCGGAGCTACTGGAGCATGGGAAAGGAGCCAAAGGTTTAGGACTCTACCTCTGGAGTAAACAGGGAGAAGCCAAGAAGGAAATCTGACAGCAGCATTCAGAGAGAGAACTAACGAGAGGCTGTGGCGATCACTGTAGCGTTCCTGAAGCAGGTGGAGGAGAGTTTCATAAGGAGGATATGCTAGCTCTGGCTGAGATATATCAGAAAGACGACTGTGACATCTTGAAAAAATAGCTCTCTGAATCATCATCAGGTTTTTTGAGATTGGTGGGCCTGGAGTCCAGTTTACAGGGGGTTAAGGAGTAAGGTGTGTGTGTGTGTGTGTGTGTGTGTGTGTGTCTGTCTGTCTGTCTACAGGAGGGGGTTGTTAAGAACTGGGGACTGCAAATTAACACTAGTTTTTAAAGAAATTTGGCTCTCCATAGACAAGGACACACACACACACACACACACACACACACACACACACACACACACACACACACACACACACCAGTAGCTGAAGAGGGCAAAAGAGGGTTAATTTAATTAAATTTACCAAACATTTATCAAGTGCCAATTATGTGCCAAGGCACTGTGTTAGGGGCAGTGGAGGACACAAAATGTGATTAAAATATAGTGGTTTTTTTCCCCTCCTGAAAAAGTGCTACCTCAAGTTCTCTTAGTGTTAGGGAGGCAATTCGTCTTAAACACAATGCTAGAGATGCTGGAATTAGGCTTGCAAGCAGAAGAGCAAAATCAGTGACAGAACCACCTAAGGTGGAGGTGGGGGTGGGGAGTTGGAGAATTGATGGAGCAACGAAGGGAGAAGGGAAGAAAAGATGTTGCAGGGGGAGGAGTCTGGTCCTTGGAAGGGAAAGGGATCCTCCTTTAAGAGGGGCACAATGGAGAATAGGAGAAGATTAGTGTTAGAGCTATTTTGAGGTAGAATAGAGTACAAGTAAGGAACCCAGGAAGTCTTCACTATGAATGGCATGTGCTGCAGACTAGGGGTATGCTTTTTGCCTTTGGAAAGTTCTGGATGGACAGGAAAATGAGGCTGTTAGTGCTTATTTTTGGTCCTATGAGACAAAAATAAAAGAAACACCTGGGCCACTGAAAGTTTTGCTTTTGGCTGAGGGTTTTTTTTTCATATCTAATGAAATAGACATATTTTTTAATTGCTCAGATATATGAATGTCTCAGTGCCTGCAGTTAGCTAGGGCGTGTGTCGGATGCAGACTCTCACAGAGCTTAGAGTCTAGGAAAGGTGGTGAGAAGGACATATGCAGACTCTTAATAAATGCTTGCTGATTGAACTCTGATCTGAGATAGAAAGTGGCTATGTGCCCGACCCATGCACATGAAGTATTATGGGATATAGAGGAGAAAGAGAATTGGAGCATTTTTCTGGTTATTTCAGTAGAACAAGGACTTGAAATAAATTTGCCATATATTTAGCTGAAGGCCTTGTTTCTTCATAGACCTGTTTTCTACGTGTTTAGAAACTATTGTGTGCTCGTGTTTTTTGGTCACAACTAAGTAACAGTACATAAAGAATTAATGAACATGATTTTGGCCACTCAAATGAAGGACGACATTATTTTGAACTCCATTTAGGTAGCACGTTGGCAGGACTTTAGGGTGGGCATTGGTTGGTGGAGTGTCTTTATTACTGCTCCAATTTGCCATTTTATGTATGTAAAGTTGTCTTAAAAGTGTTAGTACTATTTTATTGACTGTACTTTAAGTGCATGTACAGTAAGTAGGTGCAGGTCAATTGGAGAGAAGAACTAAGTAGTGCTACCTTTGGACGTTTATTGTCAGACGCAGGAAGAGATACAGAGGGGTAGAGAAGGGAAGTAAAAGTAATTTGGGGAGGAGAAAAAAAAAACTCACGTTTTTCTTTGAAATATTTTTCAAGATGATTCTTACCAGTGAAGGGGAGCAGAACGTGCCACCCCACACATTTTTGAGAAAGCTATTTTGTGCAGTCCTACTTGGAAAGAAAATTATAGAAGAGACTGTTTAGCTATCACAGGATAGGCCTAAAAAGTGATTCTAAAGGTATTAATTAAAATGTAATCACTACAGAAGTTGGTCTGAGAATTTCTCAACACTTGTTCTCACAGAACATTGTTAATCAGGGTATTGGTTGGTGTGGGGCCCCTGTTGAGGGATATATTTAACTGAATACCCTCCGATCACCACCCCTCCCCCTCTCCCCCTCGGAAGAGGCAGCAAGGCCTGCCCACCTCGGTCCCTGGAGCCCAGCTTGCTGCAGCCTCGGCTGAGGTCAAGCACTCCCCTTCCGGCCTCTCGAGGGCTTTCTCCATGTGTTGCCAGTGTGCCGGTAAAAATGACTTTAAACTCTTGTCAGTACAGTTACTGGTGCATGCATCACAGTCCCACTCAGATAAACCTGTCACAACACAGAGGCGGCCGCTGGAGAAGAGTACAAGGGCAGGCCTCTAGCTTTTCATTCGAGCATCACTAAACGTGCACAGAGTGCCCAATTATTTCAGCATTATTGAGCAAGCCTACAGGAGGACCCAAGCCTTGCTACATTAGATTTTCTTTAGTAATTTGCTCAAGTACCGCTGAGGACACTTAAAGGGCTTAAAACGGTGGCTGCAACCAGTTTCCTTTTCTGGGTTGTTAATTCAGGTTTTCTCTTTCAAATTAACTGTCGACGCATGCTGTGCAGTGGTTCTGGGAGAACTGTTTAACACTAATTTTCTCAATTTTCAAGCTTTTTTTCTTCAACATAACTGCTTTAACAGTCACATATATGTTTTGATTAGAGATGTATGATAGTGAGGCTTTATGTTTTGGAGACCAAAATACAGATGCTTTGTTAAATCTAATTTCATCTATTAAAAGTAAATTAGTTTCACTACTTAAAAATTAGGTTATTTACAGTGCGTTGCAAAACCACCAAATCCAAGTAAAAAAGATAGCATTTCTCTATTGTTCATCTCCTTCCCTTTTATATATATATGTAAAGAATAAATCTTTTTTTCATGGGTGCTGGGCTTTCCAGGATCTTTTTGCACCTCTTTCCTCTCCTTTTGTTGTTGGGGGGGGTGTCTCGGATATAGGGAACAAGTTCAATATCTTTGTCTGGTTTCTCACAGCAGCAACAACTCCAGGCCCAGCATTTATCACATGGACATGGTCTGCCAGTGCCTCTGACCCCGCACCCTTCAGGGCTTCAGCCCCCTGCCATTCCGCCCATCGGTAGCAGTGCCGGCCTTCTGGCCCTCTCCAGTGCCCTCGGAGGCCAATCTCACCTTCCAATTAAAGATGAGAAGAAGCACCATGACAATGATCACCAAAGAGGTAAGCAGTTTTCTCGGGATGTCAGTCTGATATTACCTACCTGTTGCTGAGGGTAGGTCTGTATGTCATTGTTTATTCTTGTTTCTGGGTTTCGTTTTAGCAGTGACTAAACAAAGGATTTCCCCTGGAAGGTAAATTAATGATTGGAAGCAGTCTTTTGCCAAATGATACCGTAGTGGTTGGCAAGAGTTAATGTGCTTCCCAAAGGCAAGGGGGGGACGCATTTCCTGGTTATTGCCTCTGATCCCTTGCTACCCCCTAAGTTCCCCAAGTCTAAATCAGTAATGACGTACCACAGTGCCCTGTGTTTGAAACAGTGAGTGGCGTTAATAGCTAATTTAGACCAAATGTATTTTGGGGAAAGATTTACTGATCATTTACTCGTTTGACAGCCTCAGTTATTACTTATAAATCACATATAATGCAGTGAGAATCTTGCAGGTAAGAAAACAATTTCAGTAGTCTTAGTAATTGAGAAAGTACAGCCCAAATTAATGAAATCTGTTGGTTTAACTACCTCTTTCACCCAGTCTGTTTAGAAGCATGAAATGAACTCATTTCTGCCTCTAAGAACAACAGTTGTTTATGTAAAGAATTGATTGTAAGGCCATTTGTGCTCCTTCTAGGTTGGTTTCTTCCCTCCACTAGAATAGATGATGGTGCAGAGACATTTTGATGTGACTTTGTGTTTGTATGGTGTTTATTAGTAGTTTTTGTTAGTTAATGGCAGAAAAACAAATGGAAGTCTCTCCCAGCATTCCTTTGTGGGAATTTACGTAGTACATGGGTGGTTCATTGGTCAAAAGGGTGTGGTTATAATTAAAACCTCATATCTGTTCTTGTTTCAGTGTCATTACCATGAATTATAATCTTGGGTCAATGATTTTTATCACATAAACATAAATTTCCCATCTCTGATGTTGGAAACACTGTACTGTTCATCATTCAGTTATCTTAGTGCTATGGTCCAGAGCTGAGGCATGTCTATAAATACTTCTATAAGTGGAAAAGTCGGAAACGAGTATAAGTAACACAAATATCCAGCTTTGGTTTCTGAAATTGTGTCAAAGGTAAATTGGCGCTTTGTGGATCTGGTCTAGTAATATTAATAATTAACTTTACAGCAAAGTTGACAACTGTGCCATTTACTATTTAGCAGAGATCAAATTTGACAAATGTATGATTTTATGTAAACTAACTGGTACTTTTCTTTTTTTCCTTCTTCTCCCCATTTGCTCTGCCTTTGCTGCTGTTTTGCCTACAGACAGAGATTCCATCAAGGTAGGACTCAAAATTACAGATGAAGGAATGGCTTAAAAGGGGGCTCTCAATGATTTTCATAAATGTAGTAATGGATTCTTTGAGATTTACAGGATGATTTGGTGGGCTGTACCAAATAGTGGTAAACTGCATTTTTATATTGCTTTCAGTTGTGCGTTTGAGATTTTTTAAGATATTGGTCCCATTTCTCTATCAGAATCAGATTTATAGATCAAGATTGAATTATAAGATCTGGCTTGCATTGCTCTTTTTATTATGTCTTTGCCATGTGAAAAAGAATAACTGCTTTTCTTCAGTTAAGCTTTGGCTATAAGATAAATAATAATGGGAAAAAATTGGTTTTTAAGGAAATAAACATTTTGGGAAACAGTTCCATCCTACAAAACTGTTTATCAAAACATTTAAGAGCATTTTTCTTCACCAGAAAGAATTTTTTTTCTTTAATTTAATGACATCTTGGTTTCCAGTATAGCAAGTTATTCTCCTTAGGTTTTGCATTGTCTTATCTACCTTCTCTATCTCTTTATAGAGAAGTTGTAGGGAAAGAGGAAAAGTAGTTAGGGCCTAATGATTTGGATGTGCTTGTGTAATACCATAATGGGGTATGCTAAGGGTGCCTGAATTTATATAGTAAGCAAACAAGAAAAACAGGCTACCACGGCAGAAAATGAGTAAAATATGAAACTGCTTGGTAACTTTTGAGCCAGGCACAATCTAAATATGCTACTGTATTGTGGATAATTGTATTACGCATGCCGTTGTATTTTGTATAGATTAGAAAGCAAGGGCAGTTCTCAAGCATTGGCCAAAGCACAGATGCTGTCAATTCCTTTTCTCGTATTTTACAACAGTTGAATGTTTCGGAGCATAGGCAGTTACATCTCTTGCAGTTTGTTTGTTTGTTTGTTTGTTTGTTTGTTTATTTTTGGTTGCATTGGTTCTTCGTTGCTGCGCATGGACTTTCTCTAGTTGCTGCGAGCGGGGGCTACTCTTCGGTGTGGTGCACGGGCTTCTCATGGCGGTGGCTCCTCTTGTTGCAGAGCACAGGCTCTAGGTGCGCGGGCTTCAGTAGTTGTGGCTCGTGGGCTCTAGAGCACAGGCTTAACAGTTGTGGCACAGGGGCTTAGCTGCTCCGCAGCATGTGGGATCTTCCCGGACCAGGGCTCGAACCCGTGTCCCCTGCATTGGCAGGCGGATTCTTAACCACTGCGCCACCAGGGAAGTCCTCTCTTGCCATTTTTAATGAAGTTATGTACACGGAGACTAAAATCTTCCCCTGAAACCACCTGTGCTGTCACTTTGAATGCCTCTTTATTCCTTGTCCTTTTATAATAAAAGGGAAGTAGGGTTTTTTTTTCCCAAAGTCATTAAATGATGGAAAATAAAATGTATCTATTTTACCCTTCAAGAATCTTTGTAATTTGAAAGGGTATCTGCATACCCATAGAAATGTCAACGTTTACAATTGGAACTGCACACATTGAGTTATTTAATTATGCATTTACAGTTGTGTACTTTGTTGTATAATATGAACATCAGTACCTAAATTAAAAAGCATTCTTAATCAGAGTGTAGTAAGTATTCCACACATATGTACCTAAGAAGTAGTAAGTAAATGCATTGACCAAGATTTGCTGGTAGCAGCCCTTGGAAAGGCTGTCTAGTTATTCTGAGGCCAATAACATAAACATTCCCTGCTTCATATGATAAATACATACCTTCAGGCAGGCCAGTGAACTAAACAAAAGCCTCCTCTCATGCCCCACTCCCAGAAGACTGTGAAAATATTTATACTCCAGTGCACACTTTTGTGTCAGTTACATTTTATAGTCCCTCACGTCAGAGTAGGGTATATTTTGAAATCATCTATAATCATTCAGGATGAGTCTGGGAGTGAGTATCTATATAGCTTGGAAGCCAGGGGAAAAACAAAAGGAAATAGAGATGGATGATTTTGCCTTGATTTATTATGGAATGGTAGCTATAAATAGATATTTTTGGGGGTACTGTTCTTGAATTTGAAGTCGTGTTGTGTCAGGTTTGGGGCTGTCCTGTGGCTTTGCAAGGTGAAATAGTTCACTAATTTTTGTAAATGTGTTCTGTGATGCTCAGAGAAGCAGTAAGTTGCTTGTTCCATTGATCGTCCTCATCCTCCCGTAAGTGGTTCCTGGTTAAGAGGGGCTTTTTATGATTGTCTGCTGTGTGACTAGAGATGGTTTTTATCAGCCGGAGCATGCCAGTTGCCTGCAGCTGGAGTCAGGCTTGTATGAAATAATTTATTCATGCAGGATAATGCTCCTTAACATTTAACAGGTAATGAACGTGACATAAATTTCCTTCTTGCTTTTAATTTTTCCCTTTCCTCTTCTAATGTGCAAACAGGCAGCTCTGGTACTCTAAATAATAAGTAATTTTTGGCCATCTGTCAAAAGGAAATTTCAATACAAATTTAAATTAATGGTGCCTGAAATTTTTTATAGCTCCTCTAAAAGCCTCTAATGTGCAGAAAATTCTGAATCTTCTGGTAGTAATTAGTGTTGCATGTAATGAGGATGTGGGCAATGTTATACAGCCCCAGTGTAACATTTTGTTATGGTAGCAAAATTTTGATTTATGCAAAGTTGTGGATGGGTTTAATTGTGAGAGACACTTTAAAATGTTTTTTTTGATGTTACAGATTATTAAACAGGGCAGATTTCAGAATAGCTTATAAAATATAAATTTAAACTTACTGTAAAGATTCAGGTAATTAAGTTGCTTTACCTTGAGTTATCAAGTAAAAATGAAAGAAATTCCCTCGTTAAAATGTTGGGCCTTTTTCTTCCTTTTCTTTTCTCGGAAGTTCTGTGACCACTGAACCAAATGCTCTTGGCTTTATTGATCTTGTTTTCTATAGCTCCAGTAGCCACGTTCATTCCTAAGCCTGTTATTAACAGACCTGTATCTGAATTTTTCAACAAGGATGGAGAATGTAAACATGGACCTAAAGGAGCAAGCACTGTAGGAGCCCAAGACTCATTTTATTTGGTGAGGAGAAACCAGAATGGTGTGTGTTCTAGGGCTGTTAAAGTAAGGATCCGAGGCACCCGCTTGTAACTTGGCCATCCAGTACCCTCATACATGTGCCCACAGTAAGCCTCGGATTTGGGGCTGACAATGGCAGGAAACACAGACCACGGTCCACTCTCACCCTTAGCTGATAGGGTGGAAAGCCCAAAATAGGTTCCTACTACTCTTTCCTGAGTGGGGACTTTCTAACTTCTTCTATAGTTTCTTTTGAAAGGATATAAGTGAAACCGAGGAAACATTTTCTGAGGTAATGAGAGCTTCCACTGCCTATCCCTCCCGTGGGCTGAGGGGTAGAAATGGGTTGGCTCCAAAGTGGTGAGAGAGCATTCCCACATGCTGCCAGGAGCTTCCTAGTTGCTGGAGGTCCCAGTTCGTGAAGAGGAGTCATTAGGTTCCTCACATCACTCTCAGTTTCCACTTGATTGGCTACATGATTCAGAGCTGTGAAGGCCAGATTGCCTAAAACTTAGTAGGAATCTGAGATTGAGAAATAAGTCCCATTACACCCCAAATGTCTACACCTTCTAGCAAAAACTAGCCACCAAAATCAAGACCAGCTTGAATATAAATGGCAGAGTTGCCTATCACCAGCTATTGACTAGCTCCATGACCTCTCCCAAGTTGGTGTTACTGTGCTTATTGTTACTTCCTAAGTCCCTCTTGTGTATGTTATGTGTCCTGTTTTTTATCCTGAATGCAGTAGCCTCAAGTCAGTCCTGTGAGGGATTTGCCATTTTTTATTTGTAAAATATAGCATAAGTCCATTTTTTTTCTCTAAGTGGTGGTGTTTTTATTTTTATTATTTCATTGGATTGTCTTCCCCAGAGTGCCATATGCCTCATCGAAGAGTGTGCTCATTTTTAGTGATTCGTACATTGCCAAACTAATCTCCAGAGCGCTGCAACATCTAAAAATGCCACATGCAATATTTGAGTATGTTTCCACACAATCCACCAATACGGAACTTTATAGCTTTTGTAATTTTTGCTGGTATAAGTATGGATAGTGCACTTTTTTAAACAAAATTTACATATAGATACTTTTCAAGCTAAATGCTCTTCTGTGGGTATATATACTATACCCCCCCCCCAGCCCTGTCCTGTATGGATTCTTTGTTTTTGTTTAAGGGTTTTCATAATGATCTGCTTATTAGTTGTATCTGTGGCAATGCCTGTTTATTCTGTCATAGCTCTATTTTGGTATTTATTCTATGTAGATAACTAAAACATCATACGGTGATTTTCTTCTTGTCTCTCCAGTTATTCTCTGTTGGCAATAAAGGTTTATCAATGAGAATTAGACTAAGGCTCCTTTTATGTTCAAATTGAAGTGTATGATTCGGGCCAAGAAAGCACTTTTGCCTCATTAGTTGGGTGTTACAGGTGAAGGTGCGTTTTTAGCTTGCATTAACAGAATGATTACTTCTGTTTGCCACTTCACATTGTACATCAAGACTTAATGGTGAAGGTTTCTGTTCCAGGTTCTTGTGTGACCTGTGTGACTTGGCTTTTGTTCCCCTCTGCCTCTTTTTCCTGTTGGAAAGGAATATCAGTCTGAAAAGAGTGTGCTTTTTAATATGTTTAACCCCTCGCATGTCCTGTGTGGGAGAAAGCAGAGAAGAAACCACTTGAAGGAGGAGAGGTTGGCCAGTAGAAGAGAGGATAACTGGCCCAGGCCGTTTCGCTTTTAACACTCATTTCCTTTCCCCCATACAACTGTGTGAGGTAGGAAGGTTTGTGATCTTAACCCTTTGTGAGAAAGCTTGGTGGGATTAATTGCCTATAGACTTTAGAAGGACACATTATATATAAAGACAAAGGCCTAGAGTTGAAATCCATAAAATATACTATAAAGAGAAGGTATAATCAAAAACAACCCCAAAAAACAAAAAACCCCGAACACTACCGACAAACTAAACTGTAGTGGGGCTT